TTCTCATTTAAATTCAAAGTCCATTTACTTTCATGCAATAGAAATAGGTCACTTGAACCAAATCAAAAAACCCCCCCAATGTGTGTGTGAGTTGCGTGTTTGACACGTTTTGTGTCTTTGTCACTGAATTTTGTTTGTTTCCGTAATTGTTTTGGGCTTTTGGTCCGCGTTGTGTTCTTGCATTTTCTGTTCTGAATCCAACCGTATAAAGAACGTGAATTTTCGACGTACGGTTGGAAAGTTATAGGCAAAACACTGGACAGAGGTCGAAACTGAAAAACAGAGAAACGAATCTGCCCAAAAACGACCGGTCGTTACTGTTCACGACCGGTCGCTCATCACACGTTTATCGAAATTTCGACTCTGCCGAAAAACGACCGGTCGTCACTGTTCACGCGACCGGTCGTCACTGTTCACTGTTCACGGCAATGTTCATGTCACTGTTCACTGTTCACGGCACTGTTCACAGGTGATAAGCAGGTGATAAAATGGCGATAGAAAATGCTGTTTGTGTTTTTCTTTAGTTTTCTTGTGTTGTTTCATTTCTTTTGCACTTCTTTACTTATTTTTAGTTTCCATTTTGCATTTGCGTATTTGTGGTGTGTCAATTAAGTGTTCTTTACGTACTCAAATTAGAACTTATAGGGAGCCGACAAGTTCTTCGTGGGATCGACCCCGTACTTACATAATCTATACTTCATTAGATTCGTGCACTTGCGGGTATTTTTAATTGGTTGTTTGCACATTAATTTGTGTCCTTTTAGGAATGCAACAGCTATCTAATGATATGTAATTTGATGAATATAATTTATATTAATTATAGAATTGACATAATCAATTTTTTTCCCTTAAGATTGACATAATCAATATCTTATTTAATTAAGTATTGAAAAAAATTAAGTAACATAAACAATTTTAATTATAGACTAAATATTTATGAGAGATATACTTAAGTCGTAATTCCAACCTGTGTGGGCCTGACACGTTTGCGCTACATTAGGTACAAATGAGTCGGGTTGAAGATGGCCATCGACACATATATCATGGAAGTGGGATCAAAGATGGCCTAGGACACATCATCTTTCATATTGGTCCCAACAATTTGTAGCAAAACCACAATACCCTCAATGAACAAGGACAAAGTTAGAAATTGTTTAGCACAAAGTCATATTACTACTATTACATTTGTTAATACAAGTCGCCGAATATAGATAGCGAGCAAGTTTCCAATTCAAGCCTAACATCCAAGACCCTCCTGATCTGCCCTCAAGTGCCACTGCCACTACCATATTAATCAATGACCCCATCACATATATGAGCATCGTAAGCGAAAGAGATGCTTCAGAAGTGTTACCCTAATAAAGACACAAGGAAGAGAATGAGAAAGACTTTAGAAGATGAGACCTATGAAATTGAGTTGTAAAGACTCGGGCCTTTATTGACCCAAAAAAATAAAGACTCAGCCTTAGTTCCTAAAAAGGAAGTCAAGTTACATTATTCTCTAAAGTTTTTAACGTAAATGCTTTTTAACATGGCATTTATTTCTAGATTGTTTACTCTCGCAGATTTGATAGTTTTGTTGAGATGCTTTTTAGCAATTATATAAGTGCATAATAGTATAATATAGGTATTCAAGGAAGAAAATTACCAAAAGATTGTTGTAGGTTGTTGATGCAGTCACGAGAACCACCAAAAGTAATGGGCCCCGAACCCAATTCTCTACCAACTTGTGAGCAATTAATGCATAGTTGCTTGCATTAGAGCAACTCCAGCGAGGAGCCCAAGCCCGGGGTTGGGGGGAGCCCAAGCCCGGGGTTGGGGGGAGCCCAAGCCCGGGATTGGGGGGAGCCCAAGCCCGGGATTGGGGGGAGCCCAAGCCAAAAAGCCAGTTCCAACGGGCCACTTTTGCCCGGGCTGGGGGTGGGACTCACGAAGACGGGCTGGCCCTAGGGCAACGCGAGCCCAAGGGGGGAGCTGACGTTAGCCATGATGTTAGCGCGCGGTTCAAATTCACGCGCCAACGGTAAAAGAATTTGAACTTGCGTGCACTGACGACTGTCATCGTTTGGGCGCTTCAATCGCATTCTCTCCTCCAATCCAACGGCTGACATTTTTTTTGCTATAAAATTATGAAAAATTATGAATTTTTTTTTTAAAAAATACCAAAAAATTCTGGAATTTTTTTTCTTTCTATAAATACCTACCAATACTCTTCACTTTCAACACCAAATCCTCATACATTTTCTTCTACTTGTACTATTATTCACTTTTTACTCAACATTTTATTCACTTTCAAATTGTATTTTTATTTATCATCTTATGGCTTCTTCTATCAAAACTGAAGGGGCGTGGAGCACCATGGAAGATGTTTTGTTGTGTGAGTGTTGGTTCCAAATTAGTCACTGTCCCGTCTTGGGCAATGAGATGAAATTCTGTCATATGTGGAGAAAAATTCAAGTCAAATTTTGAGAAAGATCGGGGTCGACTCGTACGGAAATGGCATTGTCTAGTAGGTGGAAAATTCTCAATAAAGAGTTGGGGAAATAGAGAGATGCCTTGGCATTGTCTTAATTACTTGTATTCGTTTTCTTTGAGTGAATAAAGAAAGCATTCAATAAAACTTCTTTTTATTCAAAACATTCCATACATCAAACAAAACATAATTAGAAAAAAAACACCACAACCAAAGCATAACTAAACAAAAAACCACAACCAAAGCATAAATAAAAAAAACCACAACCAAAGCATAACTAAAAATAAAACATAACCACCAACATGAGTTGGTCCAAGTGGAAGGGGCTTGGATCCTTTAAACAAGAGGTCCTGGGTTCGATCCCAGGCACTTGCGAATAGAGCAGACTCTGTTGGGAGAGGTCCCCGCTTTGCGCCTGACCGTACCTCGAGAGATTTAGTCTCCGCAGTTGCGCGGGGGATACCCTGGGAAACCAAAACAAATAAAAATAAAACATAACCTAAACATAATTAAAAATAAAACTTCTTCACTTCCCTTCATTCATCGTCATTGCCTTTCACCGCCCATAAATGCTTCATCAAGTCAACTTGACGTCGTTCATGAATATAAGACGATTGCATCTCCGTATATCGATCAATCATACGAGTCATGAAACGGCACTCCCTAACCAACGGTTCATGCTCCAATGGTTCTCCACTTGGCCCCATGGGCCTTTCATAAATTCTTGTCAATGCCGTGTTCATGGGATCCAATTCATACACCTCTACAGCATCATAATCACACCCATCCTCCACAATCATGTAATGAAGGATGATGCAAGTCATCATTATGCTCCTCAGCACCTCCTCATCAAACATGCACCCAGCACCCCTAATAATAAGCCACCGGGCTTGGAAGATACCAAAACACATCTCCACATCTTTTCTGTAACCTTCTTGATAGGCAACAAATAATTTTTGCTTCTTGGATCGGGGATGCGAGATAGATTTCACAAATGTGGTCCACCTCGGGTAGATGTCGTCTGCTAGATAATACCCATTCTGGTAGACGGTATTGTTGATTTCATAGGTGATATTAGGGGCTTCACCTCTCAAAACATCGTTACACATCGGGGATTGACCCAGCACGTTCAAGTTGTTTTGAGATCCAGCAACTCTGAAGAAGGCATGCCAAACCCATGTATCGAATCCAGTAACGGCTTCAAGGATGATACTTTTTTGCCCTTTCCTATTTCCATAATCTACTTGCCAGGCAGTTGGGCAATTCTTCCATTGCCAGTGCATGCAGTCGATGCTACCAATCATTCCTAGAAATCCTCGAGCTTCGGCTTTTTGTAGAAGCCGTTGGAGGTCCCTAGGCGTAGGTCTACGCAAGTAGTCCCTGGTGTACAGAGTTTCGATTGCATCACAAAATCTTACCAAGCTCTCCAAAGTAGTGGACTTCCCCATCCGGGCAATCTCATACGCCATCATTCATATAACAGTTGTAAGTTTTTGCTCGGGAAGAAGTCCCAAAACTAGGGGTGGGCATCAAAACTGGAATACTGAAACCATCCCGAAACCGAGCCAAACCGTGCCAATCTTGTGCCGTCTCGTTTGGTGTTGATGTGTAAACGGGATGATACCGTGTCATCCCGTTACTGTTTGGCACGACATTGGTTCCACATTTGTGATCCCGGTTGGTGTCATACCGTATCAAACAGTAAATTAGTTTTATTAATTCCTAATTTAATTTCAGTTCTAACCCTATCTAAGTTCACAGAGATTTTGTCCACTGCCTCTTTGTTTCTCTGCATTTTTTCCTCCTTTCCTTTCCTCTGTCTGATTCTTCTCTTCTCTTCTCTTCTCCTTTCTCAATCAAATTGAATCCGTTCCCAACTCCTCCAACATCAATCGATCTCATCTTCTTTTCCTCTCATCCTCCTCTCTCTCTCTCTCTCTCTCTCTCTCTCTCTCTCTCTCTCTCTCTCTGTTCTTCTCCAAAACCAAACCAGTGGAAAAGGAAAGCCCCAACCCAAAGTCTCTCCGAATTTCTTCTGTGTAGAAAAATCAAGGGTTTCTGTGGGATCTTCTTCTTCAAGCCCATTACCCTCTGCTACCAATTTCAGTCCGATCTCAGATTCTCAGGTATTCATAATATATGGAAACTTGTTTTGGTTTGCAATTATTTGTTTTCAAATTTGAGAAATTGTTTTGATTTTTGGAAGACATGAATTGGTTCTGTAAGCATGCGTGGGAAGACATGAATCTATTAATTCCATATGGTATAAATTCTCTTATTATTTAGGATGGATTGGTTTTGATTTTGGGAAGACATGAATTATTGACATGCATATGGGCTAGGCTACTGTCAGTTTATGTATGTATATATATATATATATGGATATGAATGGTTGTGAAATCTTGAATTGGCCTAGGCTACTGTCAGTTTCACTCGTAGGTATTTAGTATCAATAAGACAATGGTAGCACATGAGGGTTCAATTAATCATTTAAATTATGAATGTAATCATGATCAGCCACTTGAATTAATTTGTATCATATCATAATCAAACCCAAAGTAACATCTTGTTTAAGGACAAAATGTCATGTACGTAATTATAATTTTTTGTGACTGTTATTTGATGCAGCTTTGCAGGTATATTATTCTTGCATTTGCAGCTCTCCAACGTAGCCCAAAACCCCAATTGGGAATTTGGAATGGTAAGAGGCCTCGAAACTTGTTTTTACTATTATTACTGCTTTTGCTAAGCTTGTAACTATGAATCTATTAATAATATTCATCTAATACTTTTGTTCTCTGCATGTAGTCTGGATATATTGCTTCTTCAATAGGAACCTCACCATCATTTGAGATGGCACCACCACCAACACAATCTGCACCATATCCAACCCAATTTGCAGAAGGAGCAGAACTGCCAGTGCCACCTCAAACTCAAACTGAAGATGATGATGATGACTCAGTAAGTGAAATCAACTCAGAAACTAAATCTAGAGGTGTGAAACGTAGTTGGGTTTGGGATCATTTTATTACATATGAGGACAAGAAACATGAAAAAAAGAAAGATGCAACAGGGAAGATTATAGAAGTTGAAGTGGTTCATAAGAGAGCAAAATGTGTCTATTGTCCTAAAGGTCCTTTAGGAGATTATGCTGTGGATAGTGGGAAAAATGGGACAAGTGGAATGCTTAACCACATTAGAAAGTATTGCAGATATTACCCTGCAAATGTTGATAAAACCCAGAAGATAATTAGTGGTGATAAGAGTCAAGGTAACAAGCTTGTAGCTAAGGGGTTTGTGCAGACTGATGTTTTGGAAGATTGTGATGAGATGATTATTATAGATGAGCTTCCATTCAGTTTTGTAGAGAAGAAGGGCTTTAGGAAATTTTGCAGTGTTGCTTGCCCTTTGTTCAATGTTCCTAGCAGGAGAACAATTGTAAGACAATTTCTGAAAATGTATGATGAGCAAAGGTTGAAGTTGAAGAAGGGAAACTAGGGTTTGCCTCACTACTGATACTTGGACTAGTGTCCAAAACTGTAATTATATGGTGTTAACTGCCCATTTCATTGATTCTGAGTGGAAAATGCACAAGAGGGTTTTGAACTTTTGTGTGATTTCAAATCACCGAGGGCCAACAATAGGAAAGCTTATTGAAAATTGTTTACTTGAGTGGGGGATAGAAAAGGTTTTGGCTATAACTGTGGATAATGCATCTGCTAATAAAGTTGCTATAAATTGGGCTAGGTCAAAGTTGAATAGAAGGGCGAAAGCAGAACCTGTTTTGCAAGGGAAGTACCTACAAGTGAGATGTCTTGCTCATATCACAAACTTAATTGTAGTTAGTGGTTTGAAGAGGCTTTCTAAGTCTATTTTGGCCATTAGAAATGCAGTTAGGTATGTTAGGTCTTCTCCTCAAAGGTTGGAGTTTTTTAAAACATGTGTGGAAGCAGAGGGACTGTCCCTTAAAGGTATGGTTTGCATGGATGTCCCCACAAGGTGGAATTCGACATTTATAATGTTGGATAAAATATAAAAAGGCTTTTGTAAGAATGGGGGAGGATGAGGACAACCCTTTCTTGGCTTACTTCAAGGAACCGGAACATGAAGTTGATGAGGATGGTGTGGTTGTAAGCAATACTAAGCATATTAGGGTTGGACCACCAAGTGAAGATGATTGGGAGAATGCTACTGTTTTTGTGAAGTTCTTGAGGGTTTTTTTATGAGGTCACACTGAAGGTGAGTGCATCTTTGCACCCCCTCTGTCAATAAAGCTTTTCATTCTATTTTAGCAATAGAAAAAGAGATAGATAAATTGTTTGTGTTACCTGAGATGGCCACTGGTATGAGGTCACACTGAAGGTGAGTGCATCTTTGCACCCCCACTGTCAATAAAGCTTTTCATTCTATTTTAGCAATAGAAAAAGAGATAGATAAATTGTTTGTGTTACCTGAGATGGCCACTGGTTTAGAAGCAGAAAAAGTGTTGATTGATATGGCAAGCAAAATGAGAGAAAAATATAACAAGTACTTTGTCAAATTTGAAGATATGAATGTGTTGTTGGTTGTTGCTATTGTTTTGGACCCTAGATTCAAGCTTAGGCATGTGACACATCTGTTTAAGAAGGAGAAGTTTGATGATGCAGAAGTGGAAAAAAAAACCCATAGAGATAAAGGAGGTGTTGATGTCTATGTATGAAGAATATGCACCTAGATTGGATGGTGGAATTCACATGAGAGGTGGAAATGTGAATTTTGCTCCACAGACAGTGAATGCAAGTTCAGAAGATGTTGATGATATAATGGATGATTGGATAAAGGTGGTGGAAGAGAGTGAAGAGGCTGTGGTTGCACATGAAGTGGATACCTACTTGCATGATCCTTTGGAATTAACAACCGAAGAGGTCTTTTTTGACATCTTGTTGTGGTGGAAGCTCAATGGTCCTAAGTACCATGTGTTGGCAGCTATTGCAAAGGATATTCTTGCCATTCAAGTATCAACAGTGGCATCTGAGAGTTGTTTTAGCACTGGGGGAAGAGTAATTGATGCATTTAGGAGTTCATTAACTCCTAGATCAGTGGAGGCATTGATATGTATGCAAAATTGGTTGAAGGGAGATGACATTTGCACAAATTTAGAAGATGAACCTACTCCTGAAGAATATGAGTTTTATGAGAGTGTTGAATTAGGTATGTTTACTATGTGTATTAATTACTACTTTATAATGTTGCATTTATTTTTAATTTGATTAGGCTTTTTAATTTGATCTTAAATGTTTAGGCTTTTTAATTGTTTATTATTTTATAATGTTGCATTTGGTTATAAGAACATGTGTGGATTTATTTTTTTGCAGAATATGCAAGTACTGAAGCTGCTGCCACCAGTACAAACACATTTGGTGTAGATCCAAAGGGAAAGGGACATGCCATTTAATATTTCCATTTCTTGCTTTGAAGTTTTTGTACTTAATTTGGCTTGATTTGTTTTGTAAAAGTCTATGTGAGAGATTTCTATTTCTTGCTTTGTAATTTGACATGTCTTGAACTTGAACTCTTGATTGATTGTTTGTTTTGTTTGTTATTAGATTTGATTTTCAAATTTTATTGAACTTGAAAATTTGCAGATTTGAATTTGATTGAACTCTTGTAAAAGCCTATATGAGATTTGATTTTCAGATTTGATTGAACTTGAAAATTTGTAGATTTTTTATGGTATCAACATTGATACCGAATCGTACCGATCCCGTTTGAGTCCGGTATAATTTGAACGTGTTTTCAAAAACTCCCATTTCGTGTCATCCCATACCGATTCCTCTATTCGGGATTGACACCGGGATGACCTCCATCCCGTGTCATCTCATACCGTGCCCACCCCTACCCAAAACCCCATAAGCATCACACATTTGAACAAAGTATTCATCATAATTGCAAATATCATGCATGACTTTATTGAACAAATGGGGTTGCAATCTATATCGCCTTCGAAAATCAACATCAGAGTACGGAGAAGTTGGGATAAAACAATCTTCCAAAAGATTCTTACCCCGAGAATGCCTATGTCTGTCCACATTCGGGCCACGACCTTATTGTGAACCATGACAGCGGCCTTGGTTTTCTTCATCAAGCCAAGCCACTGCTATGACAACTTGTTGATCTAGTTCTTTCTGCACCCTTTTGCCTTCATCTCATCTACGCCTTCTTTCTTTAGTTTCTCGCTCTTGCCTCTCCAAGACTCTGCTCATGTCTGACATTGAGAATGGAGTATGAATTCTAAAATCTGAGAAATGAAAATATAGAGAAGATCTTGTGTGAGAGGTATGAGCTGAGCCTCTAATTTTGTAGAAAAATTTAGGCAGATAGAGATGACACGTGGTGCGATTTAAGAGGGTGAAAATCTTATCTGAATTTTGAAATTTGAAATTTATATGAATTTTGAATTTTGAAACCAAAAATCTTATCCAAAATTTTT